GCTGGGAATTCAATGGCTTGAAGGGTTAGGCAAGGTGACGACCGACTATCGAACAGGCATTATGGAGTTCAACTCCGAAGGACGGCAGGTCACCCTAAGCACCGACACTGATAAAGAAACTAAGGAAGTAGGGTTGAAAAATATTGAAAGAGTTTGGCGAGGTGGAGGCCAAATTTTTGCAGTAATAGTCGAGGACGTGGGAGCACACCCGAACAGGGACGCACCACAACAGGGAGATGTGCGTGAGCTTCTCGAAGAGTTTGAAGGAGTACTGGGCGAGCCTAAAGGACTACCACCGCACCGAGAGTTCGATCATCGCATACCATTGGTCAATGAACAGCATGTCATTCATGTCCACCCCTATAGGTATGCTCACTTTCAGAAAACCGAGATCGAACGGCAGGTGGCCGAGATACTTGAATCAGGACTCATACAACATAGCAAGAGTCCGTTTTCTTCTCCAGTTCTGTTGGCCAAAAAGAAAGACGGCACGTGGAGATTCTGTACTGACTACCGAGCTCTAAACGCTGCCACCATCAAGGACAGATTTCCAATCCCCAGTGTTGATGATATGCTTGACGAGTTAGCCGGGTCACGTTATTTCTCTAAGCTCGATCTAAGAGCTGGTTACCATCAGATTCGACTCCACAAAGCCGACATTCTTAAGACAGCCTTTCGAACACACCAAGGACACTATGAGTATCTGGTAATGCCATTCGGCTTATGCAACGCCCCATCCACTTTTCAGTTCGCCATGAACCCTATTTTCAAGGAGTATCTGCGTAAGTTCGTTCTGGTATTCTTTGACGATATCCTGATTTATTCAAAGTTATGGGATGAACATCTTGGGCATCTGAGAGTAGTGCTCGAAATTCTGGAGGCCAACTCATTCCACATCAAGCCGTCTAAATGTTCATTCGGGCAGGAGATGGTTGAATATCTTGGACATTTCATATCACATGACGGTGTGAAGGTCGACCCACGAAAGATTGAGGCTATGGTCGACTGGCCTAAGCCAACTAGTCTCACGCAGTTGAGAGGATTTTTCGGACTCACGAACTATTACCGGAAGTTCGTAAAAGATTATGGAACCATCGCCAAACCACTGACGGCAATGACTAAGAAAGGCGGGTTCACATGGACCGAAGCTAGCGAGAAGGCGTTTGGAAAATTGAAGGAAGCTATGACAACAACGCCAGTACTCGCCATGCCTAGGTTTGATGTCTTGTTCGAGGTACACACCGATGCGAGCGACATCGGAATTGGAGTTGTACTAGTGCAAGAGGGGCGACCCCTAGCCTATCTCAGTAAAGCACTGGGCACTACTCGATTAGGTCTGTCAGTGTACGTGAAAGAGATGCTAGCAGTTGTCGAGGCTGTACGGTGCTGGAGGTCTTATCTACTAGGTCGGCGATTTCAGATTGTTACCGACCAGCAACCGCTCAAGCACCTGTTGGAGCAAAGGATAGTTACCCCCGAGCAGCAGAAGTTCGTATCTAAACTCATGGGGTTTGACTTCGAGATAATTTATCGACCAGGTCGACAGAACGCAGTGGCCGACGCGCTATCCCGACGAACAGACGTGGCCGAGTTAAGTGCGATCACGGGGCCTACTTGGGCCATTTGGGAAGAGATCCAGAAGGCGCAAGTAGAGGATACCCATTGCCAGGAGCTGCGCCGATCGATAGAAGTAGGTAAGACAACTGCTATCGACTACGAGCTGCATAATGATCTACTTCTACACCGAGGTCGAGTCTATGTCCCCGACAGCGGGCAGTTACGCGAGCAGATCTTGCAGCACTTCCACGACTCTAAGGTTGGAGGCCACTCGGGTATCTATCGCACGTGGATGAGAATAGCCAACACTTTCTTCTGGCCGGGGCAGCAGGGTACTGTCCGAGACTACATCGCACGATGTGACGATTGTCAGCGAACTAAGTCTGACTCCCGACGGCCAGGTGGGTTATTGCAACCACTACCAGTACCCGAGGCAATCTGGGAAGACATCACCATGGATTTCATCGAGGGGCTACCAAATTCCAATGGATTTGACGGTGTTATGGTTGTGGTGGATCGTCTCACCAAGTATGCTCATTTCATACCCATCACCCATCCTTACACTGCGAAGTCAATTGCTAGATTATTCGTGGAATATGTGATGAAACTGCATGGGGCACCTCGATCTATCGTCTCTGACCGAGACCGGATTTTTGTGAGCAGTTTTTGGTCTGAATTTTTTAAGCTTCAAGGGACCAAGCTATCTATGAGCTCGGCATACCACCCCCAGACAGATGGGCAAACCGAGGTAACTAACCGGACACTCGAGCAGTACTTAAGGTGCTATGTCCATCAATTTCCGAGGAGGTGGGAAAACTTCTTACCATGGGCTGAGTATTGGTACAACACCACTTACCACGAGTCGACCAAGATGACGCCATTCGAGTTAGTATATGGGCGAAAACCCCCAACACTGATCAATTATTCGGAGGGGAGTACAGTCAACGATGAGGTTGGTCGAGAGCTTGAGGAACGAGATTTGATGCTGCGAGAACTAAAGAGAAATCTCGAAGGCTCGATTAATCGGACCAAGTCCTTCGCCGACGGGAAGAGGCGTGAGGAAAATTTTGTACCAGGAGAGTACGTCTATCTGAAGCTTCGACCATTCAGACAACGCACGACTGCGCAAAGGGCAACTACTAAGCTAGGCGTTTGTTATTATGGGCCATATCAGATTCTGAAACGCATTGGTCAGGTGGCTTACCGTCTGGAGCTACCAGAAAATTCGCAAATCCACCCGGTTATACATGTTTCACAGCTCAAAAGAAGCCTAGGAGAAGCACAAAAGTACTGTGAGGAGCTACCAGCAACAGCAGCAGATGGCAGGGCTATAGTACGGCCAAAACGAGCGATTGAGTACCGTAAGGTAAAGAGGGCTGGGCGATATCGTTGGGAAGTGCTAATTGACTGGGAAGAGTTGCCGCCTGAAGAAGCCACGTGGGAGGATCTTGAAGAGATACGTGATCAATTTCCGAACTTTATCCTTGAGGACAAGGAATCACTTGAAGGGGACGGGAATGATGCAGAAGTGGCTAGGCAGCTCAAGAACGCGGCCAGCCGGGTCTATCACGCACGCAAGTGGCAAGCACGAGCGACGGCAGAAGTACGCGTGCTAGAGCGAAGTGCGCACGAGATGGGCAAGGATAGGCTGCACGCGGATACACGGGCGGTGAACGCGGCTGGCATGCGTGGCGTGGATGGGCCAGCCGTGCGTAGCGCGGGGTCAATGGGTGCGCCCGCGGGAAAGTCAGGCGCAACGGAAGCACGCGCAACGGACGAGGCCTCATGCCTCGAGGCAGGCGGGAAGGCGGGACAGCACACGCGCGTGTTGGGCGCAGCAGAGCAGCACGCGAAGAGCGCGGACGGCGCACGGGTACGCGCGGGGCGCGCAACCCCATTCCTTGAGGAATGCGTACTGGCGGCAGGACACGCGCATAGGGCAGGCGCGCTGGGCGTTGGCGTGCTGGCCAAGCCGGGTGACGACGCACGCGCGAAAGGCGGTGCCCTAGTCCTCAAGGACTAGGGCGTGGACGATGGCGGCGCGCGGGTAGGGTGCCCGCGTACAAAGGCCGAAGAGAGAGAGGGAGAGTTTGAGTGAAGTGCAAGCCAAGTTATTTAGTTTCCTTCTAGTATTATATTTTCTAGCTTGTTTAAGATTCCTAATATTTTATTGCTTAATTATTTCCCTAGGTAGATTAGGACTAGATATAATTTGGTGCCTATATAAAGGACCAACCCCCATGTTATTTTTCATCATCCAAGAATTAATAAGAACTCAAGAACTTTTGTTCATCCTCTTTGCTTTAGATTTTCACCAAAATTCTATAGCAATTATATCGTTTAGAGGGGTACGGTTTGTGAACCTCTAGGCAACTATCGGCGATTCAAGGCACTGGTTTGTGGCTTATCGGCAGTCGAAACACACGATCTTAATCAACGCGCGCGGGCGCAGGGCAGCAGTGATGACGGATCGATCTTTTGTCTATACTGGGTTGCGAATAACGACACACTGCGGCCTTCGTTTATCCCTGATAGGTGTATCTAGCAGACGCACTCAGGGCCTTCTTCTAGATACCGTGACTTCAAGACGTACTATTGGCCTTCTCTCCGACACTGTATGTAAAGACGCACTAATGGTCTTCTTTATCACACGTTAAGAACATAAAGTTCCCCCTCAAGATTGGCTCACCAATTTAATACTTCATTCAACTTGTAAAATATGATGAGGTACATGGGGTATTTATAGATACCAACTATCTCTAGATCCATTCTTACTAGGAAACTAATTAAATAATTAAATATTAAATCCTAAGTCTAGAAAGCAATAAAATCCTAAACCTACCGAATAACTATTGCTTGGCTTGCACACCAAGCAAATCTAGAAGCTCCCTAAAATCCCACATGCTAAAAATCTCGGCCGCCCCTCTTGTCCGCGTCACACTCATCCTCCGCGCACGCGTGCGCTATTGCGCACGCTTCTCGTGTGTCGCCCCTCACTTGCGCGTGTGCGCCCAGTCCCTCGCCTAGTCCCGTGCGGACTAGGTCTCTGTCCGCGTCATCGCCACTCGCGCCCGTAGCGCGCCCCGCACGCCCATCGCCTGCTGCTTCGCGCGTGCCGCCAGTCCCCGGGGTCCGCTCTTCTA